GGAAGGGGAACTTTGACACCCTCTCCAAGGGTGAGCTGATGCAGCTGATGACACAGGAACTTCCAAATGTCATCAAGGTAGGTGATGCTTCTCTCAGCCAAACCTGCCCACGGAGGATGACAGTGGGACAAGGGCTGAGGTGGGGTTGGCCCCAGTTTGACGTCCTAACGCTCTGCCCCCACTGGACAGGTGCTCTGCCTCCCTTTCTCAACTCGACTTTCCAACTCACTCAGTCTCCTTGGGCTTGGCTCATTGCCTCTCTCTGGCACGCCTCCCTCAGCCGCAGAGTGGGGAGAGAGGTGGGCGGGCTGGGGGTGCACTGAGGAGCTGTAGAGTCCTTCCGGGACAGGACTTGCATGGCTCTGGGGTGGCTCACGGCAGCTCTTCTCTGTCTCCTGTTTTGTCACATTAGAGTCTCCCACACAGTTTTGGCTCATAAGGTAATGTTTCTGGGCCTCCCTGAGCAGAGCTGAGGGGTCGGAGGTCTGGAGAAAGGGGAAGGATGAGTCTGAGGTCGTTGTCTCTGCTTTCCCTTTCCAGAACACCAAAGATAAAGCTGCCATTGATGACATATTCCAAGACTTAGATCACGATAAAGACGGACAGGTCTCCTTCGATGAATTCGTAGTTCTAATATCCAGAGTGCTAAAGACTACCCATGAGGAAATCCACCAAGAGTAGGAAGCTCTCGGGCTGGCCCAGCAATGGCCCGAGGCAGACCTGTCTTCTCTTCACTGACGGCCAGGCTTGCCTGAGGGGAAGACTTAATAAATGTATTCTTGAAAAGTTCTGGACAGTGTCTGTGCACTTTTGTCTCTCCAAGTCCGTCATCTCCAAACTGGATCGCACCTTACCCCTGCTGTTCTGGCAGGCCCCATTTAGCCCTTGAGACCCCCTTCTCTGTCTGCTCACCAGCTATTTATTAAATGCCCACTATGTGTTCATTTACTCATTCATTCAACAAATATTCACTGAGCATCTATGAGAGCCAAGGACCGAAGGCACAATGTCCCCGCCCCCCTGGAATTTGCATTCTACTGGGGAAGGGATAGAAAATGAACAAACAAACATCCGTCATATGATACACTGGTAGGTAATATACATGATACAGGGAAAGCTACAGGAGGGAAGATAGGTTGGCTAGAAGGGGAAGGAGAGCTCGTTTAAATATGATGATCAAGGAATGTATTTGAGCTGGAATCTGGCAAGGAGAGGGCTTTGCAGATACCTGGGACCAAGAATCCCTGGCAGAAAGAGGCTAGGGCCCTGAGGTGGGCACAGTTTGACCTGCTCAAATTACAGCACAAACGGGACGGAAGGTGCAGGACCTGAGATGGGGAGCAGCAGAGGTGTGCACCTGCAGGAACTGGGGGTAGGGGTGAACAGACCCTGGGGAGGACTTTGGGCTTTACTCCAAGTGTGCTGAGGAGCCACGGTTGGGCTCTGAGCAGGGCAGCATGATGATTTCATTTAGGCTTCAGAAGAGTCCTTCTGGCTGCCTCTGTGGACGAGAGATTGCAGTAGGCAGGCGAGAGCAGAAGCCGGGAGACCAGCTAGGAGGGATCCCCAGAGTAGTGCTGAGCAGAAGAAATGTAGTGTGGGCCACATTTGTTATTTTAAATTTACTTTTAAGTTCCCATTTAAAAAAGTGAAAAAGTACAGGAAATCAACTATCCCAATAGATTGCAAGTAGTATCACTTTACCAATTATTAATATGAAAATTATTGTTGAGATATTTGGCATTCTTTTTTCTAAGCCTTGGAAGTCCAATGTGTATTTTACAGTCACACTGTGTTTCATGCTTGCAGTCCCCTTCCAAGTGGCCCATAGTCACATGTGGCTCATAGTGATGGTATTGAATGCGTGGCCCTAGACATTGGAGAGGTGAGGGGAGTGGACTAGGGCGGCAGAAGTGGTGGTGGGAAAGGTCGTCAGGGACCAGATACATTCGAAGGTGGGATATGAGAGCCCAGGGGTTACTCCAGAGGTTCGTGCCTAAGACACTGGGCTGGGTGCTGAGGATACAGAGGTGAAAGACAAAGTTCCTGTCTTGACATGCTCAGCTCTGATGGGGAAAAGTGAGTCAGCAGAATTCACTGTGTGGTGTCATACTTGTTTTGGCAGAAGTAAGCACAGGGTGTCAAGGAGAACAGGAGTGTGGTCCAGCCTCGGGGGCTGGGGTCAGTTAGATGTCCTGGAGGAGGAGACACTTGGCCATGAAACTGGGGGTAGAATTCTGGAAGGAGGAAAATGATGCAGAATCTCCATGTCAGTGGGCATGGGATAGTTAAGAATGTCTTTCTTTGGTTCCCGGGGTAGGGGTGTAGACGGTGTTGGGGGCAACAAGGAAGACAGGAGCAGGGAGAAGGGCGCTGGCTCTGTCCGATAAGGGGCAACAGGAGGGAAGATTCTCTGGCCAGAGGCCCTCCCCTCTCTGGTCTCAGCCAGGTTCTTTGTTCAAGGATCCCCTAGGACTACACTGCTCTACTTCCGAGCTCGCCTCTCCAGTGGGTGCAATGGCTGTTTAGCGTGCGGCTCCCGCGCAGACGAGGGTGTTTGAGGTCAGGCGCAGATCACTGGCATCAGCCCTGTGCCCGGGCACTTGGGGCTTCATAAATATCTCTGCATGAATGAGTGTATGGAAATCCATGTGGCTGTTGGTTTGATCCTCTACAAAGGGTCCCGGGGGAAAGAGGAAGGAGCAGGATCTCTGGGGGCAGGAACCTTGTCCCTACGGGGCAGGTGTTGGGTCAGTGCCCCCTGGTGACAAGGGCATTCAACCTGATTGAGCAGAAGTCATTGGCCTAACCCCTGTGTGGTGCTGAGGCAGGTCTGGGATAGACGGGGTGCCTCTTTCAAGTCATGCACCAATTAGTTGAGAGGTCAGAATAACCATATGTTATGGGATGTTGAGGTGCCCCCCAAATTCACATGTTGAAGCCTTTGTTTTGGCAGAAGTAAGCACAGGGTGTCACAGAAAATAGGAGCGTGGTCCAGCTTTGGGGACTAGGGTCACCTAGGTGTCCCCAAGTGTGATGGTTAGGGACCAAGAGTATGAGGATCGAAATTCTACTTCTGGGTCAGATCCTAATTACTAATTGTGAGATCCACTTACTAATTGTGAGACCTTGAACAAACTTCTTAACATCTCTAAGCCTTGATATGCAACCCTGTGTTTATCACCTCATTATTTATAGTAGCTAAGTTATGGAAGCAACGTAAGTGTCCATCAACAGATGAGAGGATAAAGAAGATGTGCTACACGCACACAATGGAAAATCATTCAGCCATTACAAAACAAAGGAAATCCTGGAGCTGGAGGGTATTATGCTCAGTGAAATAAGCCAGGTGGAGAAAGACAAGTACCATATGATTTCACTTATTTGTGAACTATAAAAACAAAGCAAAACAGAATGAACAAAACAGCAGTAGACTGACAGATACTGAGAAGTGACTAGCGGTTACCATGCGGGAGGGGTTGGGGTGGAAGGGTGGGGAGGATGAGGGGAATAAAAGGGCACAAAAACTATCTGTCATAAGTGGGTCACTGGGATGCTGGCACAGCAGGGGGAATATAGTCAATGATTCTCTAACATCTTCCTATGTTGATAGATAGTAACCACACTAGGGGGGATGAGGATTCACTAATGTGGGTAACTGTTGAACCACTGTGCTATATTCCTGAAACCAATATAAGATTGTAGAGCAATGATACTTCAAAAAAAAAAAAAAACTGAAATGACAACTCTAAGCCTTGGCTACCCATCAGTAAAATGGGGATAACAATACACCTCTCTTCCAGAGCTGATGGGAGGACTAGAAATCTAACAGGACATAAAAAGCCCTTACACAGCATCTGATGCCGAGTAGGCACTCCAGTAGGTACTAGCATGAACAGTGAGATACTAATGTATGCAGGAGGCAATAGTTGTAGCTGTTCAACTACTTGCTGCCGCAGCCACAACAGGTAGAGTTTATTTCAAACCAGAGCAACCATCGAGGTTATTTTTAGGGGCAACTTGGAGAGTTAGAGTTGACCCGTGATAGACAAGTCACCCAGGGCAGTTAGGCACTGGTTTTCCCTAAAGGCCCTTAAACTAGACCAAGCTGAGGACCTAGCTAGCTCAGATGGTGAGCGTGTGGTGCTCCTAACCTAGAGCAAGATGTGGCTGTGCAAACTGGAGCCCTCACTTACGCACTCACATGCATCTGGATCATTTCTGAGATACAGAGTCATATTAGAATCTGGTAAAACACAACAAAACACAATGTGTTTGCTCTTGTGAAAACATTCACCAGCTGTGATTTAGTTTCAAAGTTAACCAATGGAACCACAAATTGAACTTAAATCATGTTTAAAAATATTTTGAGGGCCCCCAGACTTGGCCTAAGTCCATCAGTGAGAGGCACCTGCGGGCAGTGGGAAGAGCCCTGAGCCTAGAATGAAGTGCCCTTGGTTAGCCTCCCAGAGCGGTACGTCCTTTCTCTGACGTGACCGCCTTTCTCTGAGCCTCAGTCTTTCCATCTGCAAAGTGCAGTGCTTGAACCAGGTGCATTCTAGATCCTCCATGACATGCAGAGCCTAGTCCTCCGATGATGGCAGGCACCATTATGAAACAAGAGATTGGACTTGAGGACTGTCCTGTCCTGTCCTCTCTAGCCCCTCACCGTCAGCCTCCTGTCTGCTGACCTCTGCGAGCCCTGGTCTCAGCCATTCCAGCACTTTCTTCAGTTTCCCCATGAATTTTCTGACTTCTCGGATTTCTCGCCTCCTGTCCTATTGTTCTCTTTGTCTAAAGTGACCTGTCTTCCCATTAAAGTGTCTGCTCTATTCTAGGCTCCAGGGTACTGATCCCATTTTAACTCAAAAGCTCTCACCCACCAAGGCCCTGTCCAACGTCACATCCTCCAGGGAGCTCACCTGCTCTCAACCCCCTCACACATGTCCACCCTCGCATCCAGGGCAGGTTTGTGCTTGGGGACTCCAGGGGTCACCTGCCTGTCACACTCGGGCTCCTGCAGGGGCGATCAGTGTAACAGAGCCTTCAGGACAAAGGTGTTCTTACACGGTAAGGGACACCAGTGCCACCCTTCTGGGCACTGTGGTGCCTTTTCCAGAAGACATTTGGACATGTCACCTGAGACTTTGGAAAGCAGGAAATCTGGATTCAGTAAGATGGCTGCCAGAAGCCCATGGTGCAAGGATGGCTAGGACTTGTCATTTTAACTTGGCCAGAATACAAAAGTCTTAAAAGTTAAAAGAAAGCAAACTCAATAAAAGTTCTGAAGGTGAGGCTCTGACTTACTATGCTGCTCTGACTTCTCCCATTACCTAACAGCGCTGGGCAAGCAGAAATTCAACTCTTGCCCTTTCAAAACTCAACTTGGCATTGACTTGAGGAAGTTCTTCTCAACCCTCCATCCCTTTCCCTTCTGTCTCCACCCTCGCCAAGGAGACAGACAAGAAATGCCTCCTCAGACCTCCCAGGGCATCTTGGGTTTATCAGCCACCTTTGCTTTCCTTTGCCCAGACCATGGTATTGAAAACACATATTTGTTTTCCCCATTAGAGGGCTCCTTGAAGGTGGACAGGTCATACAGTATTTGACCCAAGACAGCTCAGTGAATCCCTGCAGCAGCCTCCTGACAGGTCCCCATGATAATCCCATGATAAATCCCCATGATAAATCCTTCCTCCGGGCAGCCAAATGATCTCCTGCAAACGTAAATCATATCATGTCACTTATCTGTTTCAAACCTTCGAGCAGTTTTCCAATGCTCATCCCGG